GCTGCTGCTGCTCCCGGCGGCGCCGGCGCCCCAGGTGAGCGGGGAGCCGGGGGGGGACTCCCCTCGGAAAGAGTTTTTGGGGTGGGGGAGGGTACCCTCTCCTCTTCAGCCCGGCCCCCCAGTGCCAGTGCGCTGTGTCTGCCCGTCCTGTGCAGACCGCGCTCCTGCCCCGGCCCCAGCAAACAGGTGGGCAAAGCCGAGGGGGCAGCTTAAACAGGGCTTAAACCGGGCCAGGTTTCTTTTGGGCTCTTTTTTCCTTCTTAGCCCAAACCTGAAGTCACCATCGAGCACAGCGGGAGCAAAGATCCTCCCGGTTTTATGGGAGAGCGGGGTTTTGCGACGGTTCAGCATCCCGTGGGGAGTTCAGGCTGCTGGCTCTTGAAGTTAAAACCAGCCCTAACAAAGAGCTGTTTATTAAAGCGAGCTACATGCCAGGCATCTCTGCTCTTGCCTCCCTCCCCCTCGGCGCGGGGCACCCCAGAGCTCCAGGCACAGACTGGCTCATCCGCACCAGCAGGTCACCCGTGACCCCCCAAAACTGCACCAAGGGAAGCAGAGCACAGCATGCTGCTTGGGGCTGGCTTTTTTTTTTTCTTATTTGTAAACCTTCAGTAGCTATTTGGAAACAAGAATAACTTCACCCCTGCATGGTGTAGCTCAGGGGGGAAAGACATCCCTTGGGCCAGGTGGACCGGTGCCCGGCAGCTTGGCTTGCTTTCCCCAGAACTCATTTGCCTCCAGCCTTGTGCCACCCAGACCAGACCCTGTGTGCTCTTATCCCCATAATCTCTGTGAACCTCTGAGCTCTAAAACTGGCTTGACTTTGCTCAGCCCTTGCTCTTTTTCTTCGGTTTTAAGTCAATTCTGCAGGAAACCTATAATAATGATGCCCGTCTCCTGCATGAGTCAGCCCCGTGGTAGCAATCGGTTTGCAGGCAGGAGTCCCACCAGTGTTCCTGGCCCCAGCAGAACTCACAAGACAGCTGTTTTCCTCTTATTTTGTAATGTGGAAGTGGGACATGGCTCTAGTTCCAGCAGGATGAAACATGAGTTATGGCATCTCTCCCAGGGCTAACAAAGTGATTACAGCCCTGCTTGTAGTGCTGTGTTACCCATTTAGATGCAGGAGACCATGCCTGAGCTGAGGATGTCTTGCAGAAGCTAAAAAACCTTCTGCATCTGGGTAAGTGGAGGAAAAAATATAAAATCGGCTATTTCAGGGGACCTTTGATGCTGCAGAGCTCCTGCATGAGCATCGTCCTGCAGCTGGGGCAGGCTGCGTGCAGCAGGTTGGGTCCTGGGTGACATGGCAAGAGGGGGGTCAGAGTGATGTCCCCCCCTGCTGAGCTGCCACCCTGTCCCCACAGAGCTGCCTCAGCAGGCAGCAGCTCCTCGCCGCCATCCGACAGATGCAGCAGCTGCTGAAGGGGCAGGAGACGCGCTTCGCCGAGGGTCTCCGCCTGATGAAGAGTCGTCTGAGCACCCTGCATGCCTCCCTGGCCAAAGCCACCCCCAAGCCGCCAGCCAGTGAGTCCTCCCTGGGTCCTACCAGTTGCTTTTATGGCCTTGGAGGACACTGAGGTGGGCAGGTTGGGATGCTCAGGGCTGTGATGGGTGGAGGTTTAGGCATCTCCATGGATGGAGATACCTGTATTCATGCTGGCAATTTGTGCTTGTGAATTCGAGCACTTCTCCAGCCTGGTAAGTTGTGGTGAGGTTCAAAAGCCCTTAGCTGCAAAGCAGAGAGCTCCTGGCAAAGCACTGGAGGCAAGTGGGCTGGAAAACCACGTCTCCAGCAAAAGAGCCGCAGTCCTGTGCAGGGAGCTTGAGAAGGCTGGCAAAAATGCCACCAAACCCTTGCCAGTGATGCTGTCTCAGCATCCCTGCTGGGCTTTCCCTGTGGACTGGATGTTTCTGATATGATTGGCCTCAGCAGGCCAATATCTTCGAAAAATAACAGTTAAAGAGGAGGTCTCAGAGCAGCTGGGTGAACAGTGGCTCAGGTAGAGTTGGGGGGAGGAAAGATAAGGCAGTGCTCCGCCAAAGCACCCATCTGAACACTGACCCCCCCCCTCCCCACGGTGCTGTTGCAGCCTCCTGCCCTGCCCTGCAAGCCCCTGTGGATGGGAGGAAGTTTGGCACCAAATATTTGGTGGAGCACGAGGTTCATTTCACCTGCAACCCCGGTTTCCAGCTCCTGGGCTCCAGCACGCGGACGTGCCAGGCCAACGGCAGCTGGACTGGGCAGGAGCCCCACTGTGCAGGTACTGCTCTGGACTGCCTATGGCAGGGCTGCTGGGCAAGGCAGACATGCCTGTAGGGCTGCTTTGCACCTGCAGCTGTCATTTGCAAGAGTGGGATGCAATTTGGGTTTATTTAAACATGGGGGATTATTTGGGTTCACCAAACCGGGAAGTATTGCAGCTCTCTCTGGGTCCCAGCTAGCCAACATCCCAGGGATGCTGCGGCTACTGCGGACCATGATTTGGGGTTTCTCATCCTCAAGGAAAACTGGAAATTACTTCTGGAGCCTCGTCTGCAGCTCAGCAACAGAGATGAGGGGAAAAGGCATCAGTGCTGTGATGGCTCCCTGCGTCGTAGCAAACCTTTGCACTGGGGCAGTGCCACAAGATTGGAAACAGCCAGTGTCTGAGTTTGTCAAAATAAATGGTTATAAAGTGCTGTGGGGTACCAAAGCGGCCTGGTGCATATGGCCTTCCTGTGGCTTGCTTCCCAAATAGAATAAAATGAGATTAAATTTAAAAATGTGGCTATTTTGCAGAGATCAGCGAGTGCTCGAGCAGCCCCTGCCAGAACGGTGGGACGTGCCTGGAAGGGCTGAACCAGTACAAGTGCCTCTGCCCCCAGCAGTGGACTGGAGCCACCTGCCAGTACCAGGCACAGACGGGTGGGTGATCCCCCCGCCAGTGTGGATGCCTTACCACCCTCCAGGCATATTTCGGTACTCCACCTCATTCCAAACCCCATCCTGCGGTGTCTCCCACAGCTCCCCCCTCCTGGAGCGTGACGGATGACCCAGCGTTCAGCCGACAGCCCCGCTGTGCCCAGATTGACCGGACTCAGCACTGTAGCTGCGAGCCTGGCTTCCACATGAGCGGCACGGCCGCCAACGGCCTCTGCCAGGGTGAGCCGTGCTGGGGGGGACGGCAGCAGCGGCAGTGGGGTGAGCTGCAGGGTCTCGGCTGTGCACCCGCTCCCCTCATCTCTCCACAGACCTCAACGAGTGTGAGGTGTACAAGCGGGAACAGGGTCCCCGGCTCTGTGCCCACACCTGCGTCAACCTCCCCGGCTCCTACCGTTGCACCTGCCCCAGTGGGTACATCCTCCTGGGAGACAGCAAGAGCTGTGAAGGTGAGGGGGGTGGCTGGAAACCCATGAATTTACCACTTTTTCCCTACTTACACAGTTGCTTTTAAAATTTTTTTCCCTTTTTTTTTCTTTATTTGCAAGTGTTCCTGCACATAAAAATCTGGGTGGGTTCGTGTAAAAAGGTGGTTCCCAGGCTGAGTGCAGAGGGGAGGAAAATGATGGAGGTTCAAGTGCTGGCAAACATGCATGATGCTTGCTGCATCTTGCCAAAAAAGAGAATGGGAGCCCTGCTGCAGTGGTGGAGCTGTCTCCATGAATGGGGCATCCCTGAGAAGAAACACAAATAGCATTAAAAACCAATAATTACATGGCAAGGGGTCAGCTCAGAGGCCAGCAGCTTCTCCTCCTAAAACGGGGGAGTTGGGGTGTTGGTTGAGAGCAAAGCAAAGCAGCACTAGGTAGGGATGGTGGGTGGCCAGAACTGCTCATATGAAAGTCTCCTCCTGAAAACAGGGATTTCTTTTGTGCTATAAAGTGTTGCTTTTTGCAGTTCATGGTGAGAAAACTCATGCTTTCTCCTTTTCTCCCTAATTTCTGCGTGTTTTCATAGCATCTTGCTAATGCTCCCGGCAAATATCTGGATTCAAAGCTCCTGATTTTATTGCCAGATATCTTAGCGGTTACACAGGTGTTTAGTAAATAAAGATACTATGTTTTCAAACAACTTAGCATAAAGTTAGGAAAATAAGTTGCCCTCCTGCTGTGAGAGTGCTGCCCTTGCTGGCCCAGGGCAGAGTTTGGGGAGAGGAGAGCAGGGGCAGAACAGGATTTCAGGTGATTTAGGTGGTTTCAACCATACTCTCTTACTTATTTTGTTCATGTTTGACCCGTTTTAAGGTGCTTTTGCCTATCTTCCACCAAAAGGAACCCCTCAATGAGGTGGGTTTGAGGTCTCCTGGTAAGCTTGACCCACTGCCCACCCCTGTTTTGCAGACATCAACGAGTGTGCCCTGTCCCAGGATAACTGCACGAGGGGGACCACCTGCATCAACACGGGGGGGGGCTTCCAGTGTGTCAACCCCCAGTGCCCCCAGCCCACCGGCAACATCACCTACGTCAAAACATCACCCTTGTAAGTGTGGCAGCGTGCAAACCCTGCTTTGTTTTTTTTGTGGGGTGCTGGGTCCCAAAGCCACATGCATAGCATCCATATGGGTGCTATGGATGGTGGGGGGCATGGACCCTGCATCCCTGGGACTCCCTGAAAACCTCCCCCCACTTTTGCCTTTTGCAGCCAGTGCGAGCGCAACCCCTGCCCCATGGAGAGCCGGTCGTGCCACCAAGCACCCAAAACCATCTCATTCCACTACCTTCCCCTGCCATCCAACCTCCTGACGCCCACCCCGCTCTTCCGCATGGCCACGGCAGCAGCGCCTGGCCGGCCAGGGCCCGACAGCCTGCGCTTCGGCATTGTGGGGGGCAACAACCGCGGCCACTTTGTGATGCAGCGCTCGGACCGGCAGACCGGGGAGCTCATCCTGGTGCAGAGCCTCAAGGGTCCCCAGACCATCCAGGTGGACGTGGACATGTCCGAGTACCTGGATCGGGTCTTCCAAGCCAAGCACGTGTCCAAAATCACTGTCTTTGTCTCCGCCTATGAGTTTTAGGGCAGCAGCCAGGGCGGCTTCCCTGATGGCGATGGTCCCTGCTCAGCATCCTCCACCCGAAAGCACTAGCCCTGGAGGCAGGTGTGTAGTGGGAGCTCCAGGTGACATCCCACGTTGAAGCCTCTCTGCAGCCAATCATCCTCCCCTCTGCGTTAAGTTTATTCTGCCCAGGCAGCTTTTACACCCACATATGTGGGGGGAAAAAAAAGCAAATGAGGTTCAAAGAAATCGGGTGCAGGGGTTACCCGCTTGCTGGGGCACAGGAGGAGAGCATTGTCCTTGCCTGAGGCTCCAGAAGGATGGTGTCCCACAGCCTCGGTGCCTACAGAAAACAGTGGATAGAAACCATGGCCCTTATTTCCCTTTTAATTCCATTTTTTCTTTAGGAAGTAAGTTAAACTGGTGCATGCAGGAGGGAGGCTTATAGTGGCTACCACCCTCTTCCCCACTGGCCTGGGCTTGCTTGCACTGACCCCAGACCTGTAAAAACAGCATCCGCTCCCTTTTGGTAGCTGAGAAAACCCCTGGGATTGACTGGGACTTGGAAAACCCATGAACATCCATCCCCACAAGACCCAGCTGGCTCTCAGTGCCCTCCTGGGCAAGCAGGACGTTGCTTGCTGAGTAAAGGAGTGGTCCCAGTGCCCTGCAGATGAGTGCGGGCAATGGGCCAAGGCTGTCCCATGCTTCAGCCCATGGGCAGCAGCTCCTTCAACCTCCTTGAACTGGGTTGTGTGCGTGTGCATCCACCCCCCAACGCCATGACCTCAGGGAGGGCTTTGGCTGCTCTTGGAGGGAGCTTGAGGTGTGAATATTTCATTTTTCAGTCAGCTGCAGCCTGTACCTCACTGTGTGTTAGCAGCTCCAGGAATAGCTGGGGTTGGCTGTAACATGTGCCAGGGACACACACACACACACCTCCCCCGTCTTACACCCTTCCCCCTCGGTACCTGTTCCCTGATACAGCGATTGTGCATGTTAACCACAAAACCCCAATGTTATGCATGTTTCTCCATTATGCTGGTTTTAGTACAATTAAATGATGATATAGCCTCTGAGCAGAGGCAGAGCAGAATAGAGTATCCGATGCACATGCGACCTGGGGGCTATGCTCACCCAAAGCAATCTGGTGGGGGGGGTCAGGTTCCCTGGGGCAAGAACCGGCCTCCTTTACTTTTATTTTTCTGCCTTATGTTACTTGGAAGGGAATCGAGCTCCTGGATTTTTTTTTTTTTAGGCTTTTCCATGGAAGCTCTGGAGGGGGGCAGGATCTCTCCGCACAGAACAAGTAGACATTCAGTGCCTGCTCCTCGCCACTGCCGGTGTGGGGCTGCTGGAGCCCAGGCATGGTAGATGGAGGATGTTTGGGTTGGCGGGAGCTCCGGCTGGATGGTGGAGCTAGGCAGGGAAATGCATCTCAGGGTTGCGCTGGGGGAGGGAAATGAAAACCCAACAGTCTTGATCTTCCACCCCGGTGCTTTAAAAAAAAAAAAAAAAAAAAGTTAAAAAGCTTTTCGGAAAGTGCAGCTTTCTGAAGCCTGGTTTGGTGGAGAGGGGTGGCCTGGCTTTAGATGTGGGTGGTGGAGATCCACAGGGCAAGACCCCCAGCTGCAGGACAAATCCCAGGAGGACCATCAGGAGAGGAGAAAGTAGCGGCTGGTGGAACGGCTCAGTGCTCCCTCCCTCAGAGACATCCTCTCCCAAGGCAGGATGACCAACCTGTCCTGCTGAGGACACCCCATTAACCCTGGGGGGTGTCACCACACAGCTGGCCTCAGCATGGCGAAGCAAAAGGCTTTTCTGACCTGGCTTGGGAAGGCCCCACAGGAGGTTGTGCTGCAAGAGAAACTGGGCTGCAATATCAGGACATGCCTGGTTTTATTTCCTCAGCATGCACAGGGACAGAGAAAGCCTGACAGGGAGAAATGTCCTTTAAAGCCCAGTGGCATAAGAGCAGAGGTGGAGGCAGACGCACCTGCAGACAAAGAGGACTCTGCCAAAGGCAGCCCAAAGGGTCCTCAGGATGTGGGGAGAAGAAAAACACATGGATAAAATTTGGTCCGTGGGGGTAGGCCTGGGGAAACGCACCCTTCCCTTCCCCCATCGGCATGTTGGGGGTGAAATCCTGCAGGTGCCAGCTCAGTGCGCAGCCAGGGCTATGCCGGGGACAATGCCAGGCATCGTCAGAGGAGGGACAGGGAATGGGCAGGACACGCCATCGGACCGCTCCGCCATGTGCCTGCATCCCAGGATGCGACGAGGTTTTCCTCGGAGCTATCTGGACCCTGGCCAAGTCGCGTTTTGTCCAGGAAAGGAAGCAGTTATCCCCGTGAACCCAGCTCAGTGTGTGTTTTAAATTAGCGCCTTAGATAAGAGAGCAGCGCTGCGGAGGCGGCTGGCTGCGTCCTCATACGCCACCGAAAATCACTGCTGGGAGACAGAAGTCATAACAGGAAAGGATCTGAGCTGAAATGAGAAGGAATATTTTATTTTATTTTTTAGGAAAAGCTGAAGAGGGACAGACACCTTTGGGAAAGAAAACAAAGTTAGGAGAAAGGCTACAGAGCAGGCAGTCAGAACCTGTGGTTTGCCAGAGCAGGGTCCACCCGGCCGCAGTTGCCCAGCCTGGTTAGACGTGCCTCTGGGTCATTACTGTGTTTTAAGGATGAGGAGATCCCTGCACTTGGGGACGTGGTCCTCTATGAAATGCAATAGAGGAGGCTGGGGATGTGCCAGGAGCAGCTCCTGGTGCCTTACCTCTGCCTTCTTCATCGCCTGTCCCTAGTGCGGTACTTCTGATGGCTCAAACCATACATTTCGTCATCCTTGCACTGATGGCACTTTTCCTCCTCCTCGCCTTGCCAGCCAACACCAGGAGTCTGTAAGAGGATAAGTTCTTGACAGGGCAGAATAGTTTCCATCTGATGCTTTAACCGGCTAATGAGGCTGGAGACGGGTGCTTGGACCTTTGCACTGGAGTCTTTTCCTTGCAACACAGCCCCAAACTGACAACATTTTCCTAATTCCTAAGGCCAGGGTGAACTGGTTTCCCCTCTCCAGGATGGGCTGGCACACTGCCGGCGCTTGCAAAGCTGTGCCCGTCTTCCCAGCTGCTTCTCGCCCGCCTCAAGGGCCAGTACCAGAGCTGGGAAGCTCAGCCATCTCTCCAGTATTAGCTGGCTACAGATCTCCCTTTCAGGCCAGAAACGTTTAAGGTCGGCTCTCCAGTGTCTGGACTGGGCTGCAAACCTCTGGCCAGCATTTGAGCTGACTAAAGGAGATTTTTTTTCCCCTCCCAGAGCAGCCACTCCAGTATCTTGCAGACTTCTTGACCCTGGAATGTGCAGAGAGAGGCTCTTCTGGCCCTGGTAAAATACAACTCTTTGGGACAATAATATTTAGGAGCTCAAAAAAATAGCTGGTTTGCCTCTGCTTCCCTTTCATGGGCTGGAGGCAGGCAGTCTCCAGCACAGCTGACTCCAGATGCACTCCCTGTGCCCTGGGAAGAGTTGATGCCCTGCCCGAGCCTCAAAGCTTCAGTGTCTCACCCCAAAAGGCTGGAGGTGAGGATGCAAAGGCTGAAGACCTCGCATGGAGGTGGCCTTGGAGGGCTGCTGCACAGCACTTGCCAAAGTGCCAGGAGAGAAATACGTGCCTTTGAATTTCTGAAGTCTGCGTGGGAAAGTGCTCCCTCTCCTCTTCACCCCTGGAGGGGAGACAAGCCCCAACCTCAGGGCAGGGGCGAGAGGAGGAGGCCATCACAGCTACATGTCCCATTTTCTCCTCCTACTCATCATCCTCCTTCCAAAATACATTCCTGATGGCCCTTTCCCTGCTGAGCATCCAAAGTCCTGAGCATCCCTGCACTCCTCCTCACCTTCAGTCTAATGAGATACATCCCTGCAAACAAAAGAATGACGTCTCTCTAACACGCACAAGAACATCAGGTTATTTTCAACTGCAGGTTAAAACCTGAATTTTATTACTTAGCTAGCATCCCGAGAAGTCTGCCCCTAGTGCACAACACGTCCTTCAGCGCTGCCATGTCTCCTCCCACCCCACAGAGTCGTATCACAGTTCGAATACTTGCTGAAGCAAAAGCACAAGCACACACGCCAAAACACTTATTAATCCCATTACAGGCTTTAATGAGGAGCTGAACCACGACATTTTTATTTGTTACGGTTGCTAGGTATGTTGCTACGGTCTCCACACAATATCCCAGATCCCAGTATATTTGTGATATCCGAGAGTGCATACTAGGGAATTTGTTTAGCTGCTATTGCCAAATTTAGTTATACTTTGAAAAAAAAAAAAAAAAAAAAAAAAAAAAAAAAAGAAGAGCCTTTCAGGAGCTTCTCAGAAGCGTACCTTTTTCCCTGACAACATAAACACATGTAGGGATATTTAAACAAGCAGCTGCACACATTTTTGTTTAAAATAGATTTTTGTACCTGTGCCCATGACACAAAAAGGAGAAGCCAGTCTTTTATTCTGAATTTCAAATCCCCTCTTTTTTTTTTCCCGTTGCCTGACAAAGTGGTACTCAGCCCTGTGAGCATTAGCTCCTGGGCTGCACACCACACCGAGATGCTTACCTTGCCATGGTGCTAATTGGCCTAATTAGCCCTAATGGCCCTCACCAGCCTCACCTGAGGACACCACCTGCACCCCTCCTATGCTCCCTGAAGCCCTATTTCAGTACCTGAGCTGCAGGAGAGCTGGTTTTCTGGCTTGACTGTAGACTTAGGTGATGATCTGAACCCTTGGCCATGATCTCTTGTCCTACTCATCTTGCTCAGGTACCAGACTGACATGTAAGACCATGGAGAGATAGTTCTTTCTTCATGGATGTGGGGCTGCCACACTTTGCCTCTCTGTAAGGGAAAAAACATCCCTCCCAAATGGGAACCAATGTGGGTGTTCTTTTTTTTTTTCATAATTTTATATTTTCTTAGGATTGCTGGCACTGGAAAAAGAGAGTCATATGTCCTGCAAGCCAGGGAGACTAGCCTGTAAGGGAAAATAAGTTGATGTAACTTACTTGGGATTTTTCCAGAAAGTTCTAGCAGAGTCCCTGAAAAGAAAATGTGAAAATAAAAATCATTAAAATGGTTAGAGAACAAACAAGCTTCTCCTGGGGACTATGAACTGCTGAAAGTCAGCAGAACCACGGCAGGAATAAAAGGCCAGATCTCAGCATGAGGAGGTCCAGCAGGTGGGATATCTCCATCTTGGTGCCAGTGTTGTTGTAAACAGACACATAAAGTTTATGGAAGAAATGATGAGCAATGAAGTGACATCTACAGCTGATGCTGTTTGTTTGAGTTGGATGAGGCTGTCCCAAGGTGAAGGTACTGAACTTGGAGATGCAGTATTGCAGCAGAGAATGAAATTCACTGAAAAGGCAAAATGATGCCCACAGAAAGGGAGGCTGAGAGCTGCTGCCTGTGTTACCAGAGCAGTGAGAAGATGGGGGAACATCAGTCTGCAAAGGGCTGCGATCCAGCAACAGCTGCTGAAGGCACAGGGCACGCCTGCCCCAGTTACAGCACAAAGTTAAATTTCCCACGATACAATCATCTACACGAACATTGCAAGGTTGGTTTTATCACTGTTGGCTTCACTAAGGCTCTTTAGCATTTTGTTCCATAGCTCTATTAATGCTTTCTCAATGAGTTTTGAGCTTCCTCCCTTGTATTAAAAGAATAGTCATTACAGAGTGATGCCAACAAGTCTATCCTCCCTTAACCTATGTATCTTAATGGCTTTAATACCGGGTTTTCTCACACCCCGGCCAACAGCCCCTTCTCCAAGTACACAGTTTTATTACCTGTCCTGGCTAAAGTGCAGACAACCCTAGGCCCCTCATTTTAAATGCTCCCCAGCCTGAGGAAGCACAGGGTGATGGCCTTTACCTGGGAAGGACCACACGTCTGACAACCACCCTGGGCTGGGAAACACTTGTTTCAATGAGACATGTCACCCTCGGAAGGAATGAAGCGCCCAGCGCTGCCGAGGGCAAGCAGGAGGCCTGGCCCAGCGGCGGGGGTGGGCAGGGGGCGGCAG